AATTATCCAGGGAACTTGTTAAAAATTCATATTCCTGAGAAATGCCAGCAGATACCAGACAACTGTCTAGGATGTGTAAAAAATTCCCAGGATGATTCCAATGCAAGAGGAAAAATTCCCAGGCACTCTTTGAAAAACATTAATTTGCTTTTAAAGCCTAAAGTCAAAATAAGTAGTTGGCAGTTGGAAAATGCAAATCAGTCTCATTTGAGACCTAACAAAGACCATCAATAAAGTTATCAGATTGCTTCAGCAAACTCAAATTAAAAAACAAAACAATTTAATTTAAACAAACTGGTGCTCGTGAAAATAAGACACAGCCTAAAACTGTCAAAAACCAGGTAGTTACTCCATTTCACATGGCACTGATTTTGTGTTGGGCTATGACTCCTTAGTGAGCCAATTGGAGACATAATTAGACATCTTGGGGAGACAAGAGTGTGTTCAGAGATATGGCTGTGTAGGCAGGCTTTGTACAGCCCCTTAGAGGACCTCTGAAGAGGAATATGAATGATTAAAAACACCTAGATTTATTATGTCCAAATTGATCCTAAGGTTTCATGGCCGGGAATAAATACCAAGAGCCCAAGACATTAACTAGCATATTAACTAGCATAACAGGCTATCAGGTAGAGACTTGAATTTTTAAGCAAACATGCCTGAGTTGTACATTCAAATGAGTGTTGTCCTCTTCAATAGGGTGTGATGCAAAGAACAGGGAAGTTGAGTAGCAACACCGCTTCATTGGTGTGGCTCCCTGGAGAGCTGTGTTGAAGATTATGAGGTTGAAATCTAGCAGAACAGGAAAGAGTGTCTTCATCTACTAGGAAGTTCTGCTATGAATATGGCTGGGGACAATGGAAATATGTGTGCTGTATAACAGCCTTCCTGGTTTAATGGGAAGACCCCTGGATTTGGGGTTTGAAGACTTGAATTTGAATCTTGGCTATGCTATTTAAGCTGTGAGATCTTGTGAAAATACATTCTGTGAGCCTCAATTTCTTTCATTTCATGACAATTAGTCTTAAAAAATATTTCTACTTTCTATTTCATAGATATGTATGTGATAGTCCCTTTATAACCTATAAAGCACTAGTCATAAGTTATTCTTCAGAGAAGTCTCTTTGACAGGCTATGATCTTATTCACAGTAATTTGGTCATTGTACCTAATCCTCTGGGAGTTCATTTACAAACAGTGTGAACAACCTGGGAAAAGCATTTTATTTGAACCTTGTTTTTATAATTCAGGTAGATCACCTACAAATCGGCCATAATCTTTGGATCTGAATCACATAGTTTGTTCCCAAAATAAAATTCACTATCAATGGATGAAGATTTGCACAACTGGATTATTAAACAAAGTATGCCACAGGTTTCTGAAGATTCTTCCCAAAGAGGAATTCCAAAAATGATTTGTGCAGTTGTAGTCTCATTAGTGTAAAAGTATGTCTCCCAAGGGCACTACATCGAAGGCCAAAATTCATTTGAACATGTATCTCTCTGGTAGCTTATTTAATAAGCCAGTCATTTTGCATTAGAATCTCATGCCATTATAGCAATATTACCATGCTTTGAATCAGAGTGATGTTCATAGGCTGATCCTGCAGTAATCTCTAGGAATGCGCAGTGATGTAAACAAGGAGCCCAAATGAACTCTTAGCCTCTAATAGAGGGAATCCGAGCTCTCTGGTGATTACTGATAATATGTTAATCTCCAAGCAACCAACTGTTAGTAACTCCAGAATTATGAAATATGGATTTAGTGCAGCTGTGAAATCCTGTCTTGTTTATAAGCAATGACTATGGTTGTGGAGACGCAAGAAATATTGGAAGGAAAGTAACTGAAGAATCCTGGGGAGGAGCGTCTTCCAGCATTAGAATCGGGGCTACCTGAAGAGGATGTTGACACAGTTCCAATCCTAAGCTATGGTGGAGGGTGCAGTACCTCTCTCCCTGGGTCACGGGGGGCCCTGTCCTGGGCCCTGAGCTCCTAAGGGTTGTACTGTACTGCAGCCTTCCTCTCACCATGAGGAGGAGAGTCCGCCTGAGCAAAGATGTGCCCACCTTAAGTACACTGTAGTAGGAAGATTCTAAATTGGCACCCCAAGGTCCTACCCCTTGTATAATTCCCTTTCCTTGAACATGGTGGGATCTGTGAATATGATGGATGTCACTTCTTTGATAGATTATGTAATATGGCAAAGGTGAAGGGATTCAGAAGATGCAACTATAGCTCCTAATCAGTTGACTATAAGTTAATTAAAAGAGAGGTTGTCCTGGATGGACCTCATTTAATCAGATGCAATCCCTTAAAAGGGGGACTTAGCCCTTCCTGAAAAGATCCTCCCACTGGCCTTGAAGAAGCAAATTGCTATTAGTTCTATAGCTACTAGGAACTGAATTCTGCCACTAACCGGTGAGCTTGGGGGAGGTCCTTGAGCTCAGATAAGACCCCAGCCCTGACTGACACCTTGGCTGTGGCCTGGTAAGACCCTGAGTAGAGGACCCAGCTGAGCCATGCCTGGACTCTGGGCTCCTGGAAACAGCCAGTGTCATAAACCACTGAGTTTGTGGTGATTGGAGATGCAGCACAGAATGCTAATCTACTCATGCCTGTCTTACAGTCTAGTGGTACACAAAGCATGGTCTGTTTACTACTAGTTGATGAGCTAAGTATAGAAAGTAATTGGCAATTTGACACTTCCCAAAACATTTCAGTTGTCTTTTTCAAAAGTATTGGTCTGTAGCAGACATTTTTTAAAAAACAGAAAACAATTCTTCACCAGAGAAGCACTGTTTGAGTTCATGATCTGGCTATCTAGGACATTCCCTGCACAGATAACCCCAAGCCAGCTTGCAGGGCCTGCCCAGTCCTCTTTCTCTGGTCTGCCTATCCAAGGGCGGGTAATACTGCTAATGAACTAGCCGTAGGCCTACGTGGCTGGGGGGCAGCTCTTCATGGGGGGTGAGCATGGCATTTAGGAGGCATGGTTGGAGTGCCCCCATGTGTATGTGAGCCTTGGAAGAGCTGGTGGAGATGTGGGAAGAGAAGGGGGAACAACCAGGGACCGGAGTCTGTGGAGAGCTCTCCACATGCTCTCTCAGAGTTTCCTGGCAACACTGGGAAGTCCACATTTTCAAAATTCAAATCTGGTTTTCCTGACATTGTGAAGGTCTGTTGGTCAAGGTAGGAGGAGAGAACATATTTTACTTACTATTATGTTATCTTGGTTTATGTTTCTAAACATTCTAGACACGTGCTATGTGGGCTTCTGTTTGTACTCTAACACCGGCCTTGCAAATCTGGGAGTGAGCCTGGAGAGTGGCCAGTGCTCCCAGGACACCGCCAAGTTCTTCTCCCAGGGCTGCAAACCTAGAACCCTGGGATGCATAAATGGAAGAGTTTTGTTAGTTTTAAGCGATGCCCCACTATCATAAAATCCAAAGTGCTTTCTGTACTAATTATGCTGGATCTTCACCCCTCTTTAAAAACTGTGTGACAGTGGGTTGTCTTGGAACAATAATATGCAGCATTTCAGACCCACAGCAGAAGACAGATGCTGCAGGGTAGCAGGGTGTGGTAGGTTAGATAATGGCTCCCAAAGATATTTAGGTCCTAATCCCCGAAACCTATGAATATCATGTGTCAGAGAGACTTGGCAGACAGGATTGAGTTAAGGATTTTGAGATGGAGTGATTGTCCTGGATTACCTGGGTGTCCCCACCATGCAATCACAGATGTTCTTACAAGAAGCAAATGGGGATTTGAGAAGAAGGAAATGTGACACTGAAGTATGATGTCACATTGCTGGCTTCGAAGATGGAGCACGGGAACAAAGCCAAGGAATGCAGTTCTAGAAGCTGAAAAAGGCAGCTAAAGCGTTCTCCCCTAGAGCCCCCAGAGCGGGTGCAGCCCTTCCCACACCTTGATTTTGGCCCAGTGAACTGGTTATAGATTCTGACCTTTCAGCCACCAAGCGTATGATAATTTGTTACAGCAGCTGTACGAAACTGTTACAGCAAAAATTGAGGCTCTTCCCATCTGAATTAAAAGTCTGGGGTTTTGGTGCATGCGTGCAACCTTTACCAGTTTTCTAGACAGTCTCCTAGGGGCAAGTATTGGGGAGCAGGCAGCATGAAGGAGAATGAGAAAGTGAGTAACACAGACCCACAGGGTAGTTTCAAAAGCCATGTGGAGGCTGGGTCCCAGCTGATGTGTTGCTTTAAAACAAAAGGGTGTTCCCTCAAAATAACTGAGGAAATGCTTCAGGGGACAATATATAAGTGTCCAGCTTTATTCCCACAGCTGACATTTATGATGTCTCGGTCGCTGCTAGCAGCTTGACTGACAGACAATTAAAGGATGTTAGGACTTCTATCGGCAAATGGTCCTGAGCACACTGGAGAGAGAGCAAGGTTAGGGCAGGCTTCCAGGACGGGGCTGAAGTTAAAAGTTGAAACAGCAAAGGAGAACTCAGGGAGGGACTTGGGGACCAAATGTTCCCGACCGAAGTGTCTGAGCCTGGAGTTGTCCTTTGCTTCCTGGGAAGTGGTGGCTGGGATGTGACAAGTATCGGTGGCGGGTTAACGGGGACCCTTCACCTCTTCCTTCACTGAAGCCCTGGGTGAGTCCCAAGGACTGGGTGCTGTTGAGGCCACGGGAGTGCCAGGCAGTGGGGAAGACGAGACTCACTTTCTGAACCGCCTTCCCTGGGCCTCAGAGGAGAGCTCGGGCTGTTTTGAAAACAGCTGCTGCACTTTTCCCAAATGGCCTTTCCCTGTTCCCTTCAGCTGCCAGCCCTTGAACACATTCCCTATTTTGCTACTTTTGCAGGTGTATATTTGACTCCAGCCTGGAAGAGGGTTGCTGCAAGAAACTGGGCTGTGTCTCTTGTATCTGTGATTGCTCTTGCTGACTTTCGTCTCTGCCTGACAAAGGCTTATTTTACTTTTTCTGAATCAGACCTAATGCTGTAATGTTCTCCAAACAGCTGCAGAACCATCTCACTCAACTAGCCTAACTTTGGATCCAACTTAGATCAGAAGAAAAACTACAGAGAACAGAGCTTACTACCCCAGCTGCATGCACCCCCTCTGGCTTCCCAAGGGCTGCTGTGTGCCTGTTGTGAAGGGCCCGATGTGCATGGTGAGAAGCAAGGGCCTCCAGAAGTACTTTCTGTTTTCTTTGGTGTTTAACCCAGCTGTATTGTAGTATGTGCTTTTCTCTCTCCTGGAACACAGATCCTTGAAGCAAGGGAAGCACACATCTTCCTCATTTTCATATTCCCTCCTCGTGGCCCCCTCCTGGCTCTACAGCAGCCTTTGAGTGACTGCTGCCATTAGGCACTTTATATAGAGTCCGCTGATGAATAGACGCCTTCGCACATTAGTTATTTCATATATTGGTTAACAGAAGTATCTTGAATGTGCACATCACCTAACCGTGTTGATGTGTTTTTGCAGCTAACATTTCATTTCATCTCTACCACGTCCCTGAGAGTGCAAAGTAACAAGCAGTAAGAGTTCCATAGAACACGTTAGAAAATTGAAGTCTGGGATAGTTGTGACTTAAAGAAGGTCACACTGCAAAGTATCGGCAGAGTTTGTCAGGATCCAGTTTTACTCTGCTGTCCTTGCCATGACACTGGCACTTTACTTCAGCTAGTGGACCCCCAGTAAAGTTATAAACCTTCTCCTTTGTGCAGGTGGGGAGGAGACAAACCTAGGCACCTGAGTTTTGACCACACTCTTAGGTTGTGCCAACAGGGCTGTGACCGTGGCCTCCTGGATTTGTGTGTGTCAGTAACCTTCACTGTCTATATCACCCAAAAGGACACTGTGGATAAAATGAAGGTTCCTGTGGCCAGGATTCTCACCTGGCCCTGGTTGGCTAGCTCACTGCACATGTATGGGCAATGCATTGTTATGGGTTCTATATAAAGAGCCCTGCCCAGTGCTCTGAGTGACATGGTGGCACAGCTGCAAGGCTGCAGGAGAGCAGAGCAGAGGCTGGAGTGGTGGCAGTGCCAAAGACAGAGGACCAGAGATAGAGACCGGCTTGCTGCATGCAAACTCGCTCTGAGTGAATGGGATTTTAGTGATTCACCTGCCACCCTGGAAATAAAGTTGGGTATAACCCTTTCACCTCAAGAACGTTCTACTGTCATTTCTTTGGTCACACAGAAGCCATAGTGAACTTGCCCGGGGCTGAAACCCATTGGCAAGACAGACACCATGGTAGTTTTGAACAACAGCAGATAAACCACACTATCAGAGGTGTTCTCTTAGGTTATTTTGTTGGAAGTGAGGGTGGGAGGCTCCAGGCATAGTGATTTCCAGAAAGAAAATCTTGCTCTTGGGTGCCTTGAAGACTCACTGAGCCCAGAGCTGGTAGAGGATACAGTTTCTTTTCCTAGCAGGGCACTGCCAGTCCATCTGGGAGTCCATCTGGAGGCTAATGGATTTCCCTGCTCTCCATGGTCCTGTCACCCCACGGTCCCCTCTGCCCTGAGACCGCTGCTCCCAGGCTCTCTGTCCTCAGCCGAGTGTGTCCAGTCTGAAGGGGCAGCAGTAGGTCCTTTGGGTTCTTCCCAGAGAAACCAAATCCCCTCAACTCAGATCATGTTTATCTTGCAAATAGTAACCACTTTTCTTCACAGCATCCACGAGTTACTGTGCTAGCAGTGTTGCAGTCTCTGCTTCATCTTACAAAGGATGTTTTGTAAGGCAAAGGATGGGGCTTGGGTGGAAGCAAGAGGAGGGTGAGAAGGGAAGAAAACCCCACTTTGTCGCACTTAGAGTGTGTAGATACAATGGAAGCTCCTGTGGCCAGGATTCTCACCTGGCCCTGGTCAGCTGGCTCACTACACACGTGTGGCCAATACGTCGCTATTGACTCTATATAAAGAGCTCTTTATATACTAGCTGCAACTTATCAGGTACTTAGTAGAGTTTTATCTGGGGTTCCAGCGCTCTGAGCGACACGTGGCACGGCTGCAAGGCTGCAGGAGAGCAGAGCAGAGGCTGGAGGGGCGGCAGCGCCGAGGACAGAGGCTGAGACCGGCTTGCTGCATGCAGACTCGCTTTGAGTGGACGGGATTTTAGTGATCAAGCTGCCACCATAGAAATAAAGTTGGTTATAACCCTTTTACCCCAAGAACGTTCTACTGTCATTCCTTTGGTCACATTGAATCCAGAGTGAACTTGCCTGGGGCTGAAACCCATTGGCAAGACAGTGACACACAGTGTGACACACCTAGTTTTAAAGTGATCTCATGTCCCACTCTCCCCAACTCATTTATCAGCACAGGTTTACCAAAGATTTGCCTTGTGGAAGGAACTACAACATGGGATACAAATAGGAATAGGAAATAGTCTTTGATCTACGGGAGTTCATGGCTTAGAAAAAGAAGCAGGTTTATTTTAAAGTGGAGTGGGATCACAAAGAGAGAAATGCCTGGCGAGGTATGAATGAGGAGCACCTGCAGCCCCATGCGAGGCAAGGCTTCCCCAAGAAAGGAAGGCTTGAACGGCCCCTTTTTTCAGGTGAAGCAACTAAAGCCGGGCAGATAACCCCGTGGCCAAATCACTGCCTGCAAGCGCTGGCGAGGAGAGCGTTGCCTCCGCGTCCGTGTGACTGTGGCGTGGAAGGCGGCCTGGCGGCACCACCACGGTAAGAGCCTGGGGGTCATCGGGTGGGCCTGGGAAGAACTCAGCCTGGGCAGGGGTCGGTGCTGCGGAGAGCTTCCAGAAGCAGGAAGAGGATTCTCAGAGGTAGCCAGGAGGAGCTGATGTGGTCTTGAGGCATTCGCAAAATGAGGGGTGGGGGCGCTGGGGTTCCAGCATTTTCCTCGGGGGGGGGGGTTTGAAAAAGACCATAATTTTGTTGAAATTTTAAAAAACATCTTTTAATTTTGCATGCCTTCACGCGCACGCTGGCGGCCCCCAGTGATGGTTAATACGCTCACCTCTCGAGGTGCCTCTCCGACCCCCCACGGCGCTGTGGAGGAGAGCCACCCCACCCTCGCCCAGCAGGTGAGCAAACTCTGGCTTCAGAGGGCCGGCAACCTGCTCCCGGTTGCACCTGGAGTTCGAGGCCTGGTCCTCTGGCTGCAGAGGCCAGCTTCCCAGCTGCTACGCTAACACAGACACTGGAAGCAGCCTAGATGTTCGAGTAGATCCACAGACACCTGGTATGAGGCCAGTGCAAGAGGGGGCTTGGGAGGGTACTAGCTGCAACTTACCAGGCGCTTAGTAGAAGTTTTATCTGATTAATCCTCATGACGTGTCTATGAGGACCGCAAAGTTATTGCCTGTTTTATAGGTGAGGATGTTGAGGTGCAGAGATGTTAAGTAACTTGCTTCAGGTCACACAGCCAGTATGTGTGGCTTAGGATTTGAATTCAGCTGTGTCAGATTCCAAAGTTCATGTACTTGCTGCTATTATGAAAGATAGTCTAATGCCACAAAGGATGTTTTGATATTCTAAATAAGTGGTTTTCAGCTGGGGCAGTTTTACCCTCCAGGGGACATCTGGCAATGTCTGTAGATAGTTTTGATTGTCACAGGTGGGATGTTAGTGCAGTTGGCATCTGTGAGGAGAGGCCAGGGATTCTGCTACACACCTTGCAGTGCACAGGACAGCCCCTCAACAAAGAATTATCAAAATGTCGCAGCACCAAGATTGAGAAACCCTGTCCTAAATTTGAATAAATTCAAAGGCATTTCGAAGAAATAACATATTTGTTTCATTCCACTATGAATTCCAAGGTCAGAGTATCTTGATTCCAACTTCCTTCCGACTGTACTCACTTGCTCCAGAATCGTTTGGGCAATGGGACCGTGGTGGGTTCCTTCTTCTGGTCCCTATGGGGACAGATGGTGTGAATGCCAGTGGTGGGCCCACTGCCCAGACCTGAGACTGGCCAGGAGCACAGGAGCATCCCTCCCCAGCTCCCAGGTCCTGGGCTGGACAGTGGCAAGGGTGGGGCTCCTTGGCGGTGGAGCATCCATTCCTTATTTGATAGCTGTTGGGTATTCAGAATACATAAGCCTTTTCAAATGTGAAGAATTTTTGAATATAAAAATATATCGGGGCTGTAGCATATTGTTATGCAGGTAACACCCTTGGGGATGAGTCAGGGCTGAAATCCCCGGCATGCCTTGTTCTAATTTGCACAAATGCACCACATGAACTAGCAAGGGCCCTACACCCCACAGACCCCAGGTTTGAGGAGCTGACTTTTATACTTTTTGATTGAGAAAGTGCATAATGACCCTTTAACTACTTTGAATTCAGTAATATGTTCAAGTAAACTTACATTTTATCACAGCAACACCTACACTTCTAAGAGATCGTAGCGCCAGTATAAACCAGAGGTTGGTTATTCCCTGTACAGCAGCGCTTAGCCCTGTGGACTTGCGCACTTTGCAGTAATGCCAAGGTCCCCCAAAGTGCAGGGCTGTAGATCAGGCAATGCTGCCTTAGACTGTTGTGTGTAAAAGTCATTCTATTCCCTAGCCTAAGAATTTCTTTTAGAGGCAGAAGGCCAGTTGGCAATACATGAACATTTTAAACATTGTTGCACCATAAAAAGTTCAAACTTGAAACTTTTTCAGTTTTCCCAGTTGTTTAAAGAGAAATGAAACCCTTGGATAAAAATCAAAGAAATAACAGTTTCTATAGCTCCTCCCCCAAACATTCTTCTGTCCAGGTCTACCACAGCTTTGCTCTTCCTGACTTTGAGGATCTTCACCTGTGCTGTGGACTAGTGCCATCCGGTAACACAGACTGCAAGCCCTTATGCAGTGTGAAACTTGCTAGTAGCCACATTTAAGTAAAAAGAAGTGAAATTTTAAAAGTATATTTTATTTAACCCAACATATCGAAATATCATTTCAACATGGAATCGATATTTTAGAAATTAATAAATACTAGAAATAATACATACTAGAAAAAATACTACATTAATATCTTATATGATATAAAAGTTAAAATCAAGTGTAGTCTACCAAAACAAAGTTGTACTTAACAGAAAGCTATCTTACATGGATTCCATTTCAAAATTTAAATTTAAATTACTTGAAATGCAAAATTCAGTGTGTCAGCCGCACATTTCAAGAGTTCAACAGCCACATGTGGAGTGACTACTGACTAGCACAGCTGCTAGACCTGCTGATCTCTAATTAAACCTCACGGAGCCCATCATCTCATGTCAGTGGTTTGAAGTTCTAGAACCTTCTCTATGTAACATAAGAGCAAATACATGGTGGTGGTTAGGGAGCTCTGGTTTATGTTTAAGTTAAAACACTTTCTGCAGTGGTAGTGCATTTCAGGGTGGTATTTCCCTGTGGAGATGAATAATCTGCAATTTGGGGCCCTGTACTGGTTGCCACCCACATTGAAGGTCATTCCCAAGCAGGCTGGTTTTGAGGGGGTCATGCTCCTTTGACCTTGTCTCCAGGAGTGTGGTTTTCAGAAGGATGAAGAGAAGCAAACTCCTGAGGAAAAATTTAATGGGTGAAGGTCAGGCTGAAGTCGATGAGGGAAGAGGACCGAAGGATGGAGGGTCTCCGATCTCTGAGGGAAATCCACCCCCACACGTAGAGAGGAAGCTTATGGTGTGCTCAAAGCTGGGAGGAAGAAAGAGGATCTAAAAAAAAAAAAATTAAAACCCAAGGCCCATACACATGAAACAGTACATGGTCAGTACCTCTACTGACCTCTCTCTGCTATTCCAGAATATTTTAATAATTAGACCCACCCAAAATATGTTTAGCATCACACCACCTGCTATTTCTCATGGCCAGTATTATTTGCCACAAAATCTGATCCTGTTTGCTATATTATTGGATATCCTATGAAACAGAATCTAAAAATATACTTTCTTTTCTCTAAATCAGTCCTAACCTTACAACTGGGGCGGCAACCATAGTGTTGTCGCCTGCTTTTGTTTTTTTCACTCTTAAGGACTAGGTAATAATAGTCCATGCCCGGTCTCATACTTAGTCTCTGTACATGGCTTGGTATTTGAAGAATATATTTATAAATTAAAGCTGTGCTGTGTTTCAGCCCATGTATTTGTCCCGTGCAGTTATGGGCTTATACATTGCAGTATCTCATAATGTTTTTCTGTCTTAAACTGAACACATCCATTCTTTCTCAGTCGAAGTTCCTCAGCTCAAGTTGTTTTCATCTCTGAGTTCTCAGGCTGTTTCTGTTGTGGAGGAAAAAGGAATAAAGGATTCACAGTGGCCCAGAGTCGGAGCCTCTTTACAGGCCTTGTGTCCAGAACTCGATTTCCTCCTTTTGTAGAGAAGTTCTGCAGTCAAGGGTGTGGGGACTTAGGGAGCTGTTGAAACAGCAGGTTTGCCTGGACTGTGCTCTGCTCTTATGTGACTGCTGTTAGGCACATTCTAAGAAAGCCAGTGAAAGCAGAAAAGGCCCTTAGAACCAACTCTTGCCCCCAGTACAGCTGTTAAACTTAAGACTTTCAGAGAGCAGCCCAGGGCTTCCTGTGCCCCTTTACCAGATCAGTGTTCCCTAATGCTTTTTGGTAACATTCTTAAAAGCCCTATTATATATTTACAAAGATATAAATATATTTATAAGAAACAAAAGGAGAAGGAATACTGACTGTAGTATCAGTTCATAGAGGGAAAAACACATTTCTATTTTTTCATGTTCTGCAAGGCACCTAAGTCAAACATATAACTGTTTCCAGGGTCTATGACTGTAAAACATTTTTCTGTGAAGGCTAGATAGTTTAAGGACTTTATTTCCATTTGGTTTTAAATAAAGAATAAAGGAACAGCCAATTTATTTTCAGAAATGTACGTTGCCTCTGACTTTTAAAATAGAAAGCGCCTGATTTTCTTCTTGCTTTTACTTTATAACTGTTGTGCACTATCTGTTTTAATTGTTTGAAAGAGTTAAACTTCTTGTAGACGTTGACCCCGAATGGAAATAATTGGCCAAAGATGTACCCTTGCTCTTTGTGAGAAATCCAATACTCTAAGGGAATCCAGCCTTTTAGAAGTATCACAAAATTTGCCCAGGAAGCATGACATTGGCAGAAAGGGAATACAGATCCTTTTTACCATGTTTATATGGATATGGATTCTGGGTTTTACAATTAGAGAAATATTGTACAAATTCATGGTGATAGTGGAGAGCAATGTAGAAAGAGAAAGGCAAGGATCATTTTGTATTTTAAGGCCAAGTAGTATAGCCAGATTAGAGAGATGAGAGAATAAAGGTAAAGGTATTATGACATTATTGTTTGCTCTCTTCTCTTTTTGGAGCATTGCAAGGAGAGAACACAGTTTCATAATGTGGATGAAAGGTGTATTAAAATTTACTAGCCCAGGATATCCAAAAAAATCTTGAAAAAGAGAACAAAGTTGGAGATTCATATTTCCCAATTTTAAAACCTACTACAAAGCTACAGTGATCAAGATAATGTAGTTCTGGCATAGGATAGGCATATGGACCAATGGAACAGAATCAAGAGTCCAGAAATAAACCCATATATCTGTTGTCAGTTAAAGCTATCTTCGTTTATCCCATGCAGTCATGGGCTCATAGATTTGTGGAGTGTTAAGACCACTCAATGGGGAAAGAAAAATTTTCTCAACAAATGGTGCTGGGACAACTGTGTTGTATCCACTTGCAGACTAATGAGTCTGGACCCCTACCTCACGCCATACATGAAAACTCATTCGAATGCATCAAAGACCTAAATGTAAGGGCTAAAACTATAAAACTGTTAGAAGACAGCATAGATTTAAATCTTTCTGACCTTAGATCTGGCAATGATTTTTTACATGTGATACCAAAAGCACGAATAACCAGAGGAACAAAAGAAAAATTGGACTTCATCAAAATTAAAAACTTCTGTGTGCCAAAAGACACTATCAAAAAAGAAAGAAGACAACCTATAGAGTGGGAGAAAGTATTTAAAAATGCTATATCTGACAAGGGTCTAGTATTTAGAATATTAAAAGAACTCATAATTCAACAGTAAAGAGAAAAC